GCGAAGTTTGGGAACCTTGGGAACGTTGAGAACCTGGGAAGCTTCATGCGACTATTTCGAGCAGCCCCAACTTGCCACCCTTTACTATGGCTGAAGACCCCAAGCTTGCACGCTTGGATGCTGTTGGGGGAACCACATGCTGGTCCTTGTTTTTGCTGTTGACGTCGCACGTCTACCCCGATCTGGCCATCTACTTGTCGACTCCCGCACCTGGCTGGTGTAGCTGATGGCCTGATGTCGCGCCAGCGAAGCTTTTATCTTTAAAGCCGGGGTTAGCGGCTGTAACCGTTAGGGTCATCATCTTGATCTCACTGTAATGTTCTTGGCTGAAGAAAGAGAGAAAACGCTGCCCCTTGGAAGCTTGGAAGTGTAGAGTAAAAGGGTTGCCCTTTCCACCCGGGAAACCGACCTTTTTAAGTGTGGTACCAGTAGCGAATCCAAGCGCTCAAAAGTTCTTTCATGGAAGTGGTTCGGTCCACCCACCTGACCCATGACCCACCTCACCCACTTCGCTCCACAAAGAGATGCATGGCATTTCACACATGGAATCATCCATGGGGTTCCGTGGTCACATCCGAGTTCCGACGACGAAGGTTCAATCCAAACCGGCCACGCCACGGGGGCTTCGCTTCGATTCCGCATGGCCCATGGAGGAGGAGGGCTCGCGGGGGTTCGCTTCGATTTGCAAGGATTGGGCAGTCGGCCGTGGGGATCTGCAAAAGGGTCGGAGCTAGTTGCGAAAGTGCACTGAACTACCCTACTCATGCATGCTTGCTAGTTGCCTTTTTGCCAAATACCAAAAACAACGCTCAGTATGACGCCAGAGTATTTCTACTGCTTCTCCGACTCTGACTCATGACTAAAACCACCAGACCACCCAAAATGACCGCTCCCCTCACCACTCTCCCCTTCCCACCCTCCGCCGCATGTTCCCCGGCCGTGAACTCGGAGAAGAGCCCGTTCCAGCCGCCGGCTTGGGCCTGGACACACGCCACGCGCCACGCGCCTTGGGGCGCAAAGCCCCGGAAGGTACACTCCGACGAACACATCACACGTAGTCACATGGACACGGAGTTCACCCCAAAGTAGCAAGAAGCTACTAGGAACAAAGGGCATCGCTACTAGAAGCAAGGACGCTACTAGTACCTCCTGGCCTTACTACGAGTAACAATAAAGCTACTATTATCTTTTTCTGTTTCATAAAGTATGATTCATGTTTACGGTCCATGTTGCTCTGGCAAATTGGAACGGAAGGGAAAAGGGATGTTCCGTTGCACAAGCGCACCCCAAAATCGCCAACCAGGGTTTTTGCGGATTTAACGGTGGTCCAAACCCACAGCCTTTTGGTGACTTCATTGGATGGAATTCATAGGAATTGGAATATTACTATTTTTGGCGCCAACAATTCTAAGATGACGTGCAAACTCCCGAGCAGAGCCTCCAACGACCGTTTCACCGTTCACACGGTTCGAGAAAAGACTCCAAACTCCAGGCCTTCTCCAGAGCCTGATCCTGGCATGGGACGATGCTTCTGGCTGTTCAACCCCCAAGAATGCTAAATCCTCAGGCACCCGTTGCAGACACACATTATATAAGAGGCTCGTAACAAACCCCATCACCAAAGACATTGATCAAAACTAAACAACCCCAAAACATGGGATTAGTTAACATCTGTGATGCCTTTTTGGCTTTGACTCAGATCCATGCATTTCCGCGCTGCCTCCTAAGTCTGCATGTCATCTGAGTCTGGCTGCCAATTGCGACAGGCTGTGAAAAGAAATCTCCTCATCTTAACTTAGGGATGACTCCCGGGTTTGATCCTGGGGTCTTCAAGACTCAGTTCCAAAGGAAAACAAAGATCAGGTGGAGAGCTCAGCTTGTTCCATCTCGGAGGTGAAACTGCCAAAATGGAATGGGAGGAGCATGGGATGCCGTCCCAGCTACCTGCAAAAATCTCGCATGTTGCGACTGACCTTTCTTCGTTTCCTCCTTGCCACATGACTTCTGAGCTCTCTCATAGGTGAGAGGGCTCTTTCGAGATCTTGATTTTCTTGGTGAACAGCTGGTGTCTACTAAAATAGGCAGACCTCCCAACCACCCCTGGGAAGAAGGGAAAATAGACCAAAAACCGGTGGGGGGTCTTCCTAAGATACACGCCCAGCTGGTCTGAGGACTTGTGGGACTTGTGCAGCCTTTCTCCTATATATAGCTTCAAACGCAAGGTGGGCAAACGCAGGACTTTGAAACTAAACATCTCGAAGCCCAAAGAGGCATCACCAGGCATCTACTCAGTACATCCGAATTGGACCTGGACCCAGGAGCAAATGGGACTATGGGTGTTACCTCAAAGAGAAACGATAACTTCAAGAAATGACTTGTGAACTTGGCAAAGTAGTGGAAATGAACAACCTGAAATCGCATCCAACTTGGCAGCAAATATCAAGCGGGATGCCACAGCCACACATGAAATTGCACATTGCGCTCAGTAACCAACCAACCAGTTCTTTTTGTGCCATGTATACTATTTACTATTGATGGCCAGGCCATTCTGCATCACCCGGGACCCTTTCAGCATGATGTCCTCTCGGTATTTGTATAGTGGCATGGTGTCCAATACATTGTTAGTGGGGATTTACTATTCTATCTGTTTCGGGACCACTATAGTCAAATTGAAATCCAATCAATCTAGGGCTTTGCTAGGCCCAGGCCCCCTCCCTCATCGGAGTGATCCATGACGATCAAAGAAAGGCGAATCACTTTGGGATGGCGTGCGCCCGCACAAACAGTTCCCTTTGATGTCATCATTTGTACCATTGTCGTTGGCGTGACGAGACCTTGCACCAACACGCTTCAAACTTCAAACTGCCATAACATCTGTTAAAACGGCTCTTGTTGAAATGGGATGTCATTCTGAGGCCTGTCACGGCGTAGGAACCTCATGGGTGCCCCCCACTGGAAGCGAATCCCGCAGCCCCAAACCGGCCGGTGACCGCTCGTGCACCGCTCGTGTCCGATCTCCTTCAAGGTCGTGCACATGCTTTTGATCTCATCGTTGGCTTCACTGGCACTGGAGGTGCTTCCGGGCCTGGGGGCACACCACGGGTGTCTGAGAAGAGTGGCGGGCCCAATGTCTTACTCATGTTCTCGGGTGTACACTCAAGGGGAACAACACATCAAACAAGCTCAAGACGATCACATGTGGTCACACGACAATATCACAGTCATGTGCCATGACCCCCGTCACAGGATGCTGACCATCTGCAGGTGGACGAAGCCATTCCGGCGCTTGCAGTCGAAAACGATCCCCGCTTGCGCGCGGTCCGGTGCGAAGATTGATTTTGGTGCACCACGGCAGGGGCACTTCCAGAATCCACGTTGCGTCAATCCCCCCTTCCAGGTGGGGAAAGGCGTGTTTCGGGCAAACCAACATCAGAACATTGCGTGATGGTTCGAAACAAACACAGACCGTTGTGAAGGACCGGCGTACGAGGATGGTTTTTCTTCACGCGCGGTACACCCAGGAGGCACGTGGTCCACCCAAGAAATATCTTCTCGAAACGGATTTGCGATCCAAAAAGAGACCTGGAATCAAACTAACCCAATGGTCCCAATAGGTACAGGAAAAAGACCGCTCGGCCACTTCGGGTCTCGCGTCGTGTGCTCCACGACAGAAACACCCCAAAAGAAAGGCACTCGCAACGCCTGTCGACCTCACTCACCGGGGAATCCGGGCATTGAAACACTCGTCGCCTAGGAGGGCAGACAGTTGCCTTGGACTGAAGGGGTAACTTGGGTATGAAGTGTGAGAACAACACCCTGTTGTTCCCTGAATCTCGTTGAAGTGATCATTTGCACCAGTGTTCAGGAGGTACTTGGATTGAGGTACTGGGACTGGTGAAATAATGGAAGGGATCGTTATTTGAAAGTTCACCCATAAAAGTTCGGCCTCAAATCAGTTCGCAAACTGACGTGACAGAGATGTTGAATGTCGCGTGTGGCGCCCAGTTCGCCCAGAAGGCCAGTGGCATGCACGGTAGCCAGTGGCAAACCGATGTCATGAAGAACTGGAGAACTCTATGCTACATAAATATACAAGTAATATTTCTGGTAGCATATACATTATTGCCAGTTATATGTGTATATATATATATATATATATGTGTGTCATTATATGTCTATACAACAAGTCTTGTGTATTGAATACAATCATATATTATATATAAATTGAGTATGTAATGTGATTAGCTATATATATATATATAACTATAATATATATATATACAGTTAGTTACTAGAACTGTATATTGGGTAGTATATTGTTGATTGACGATTATATATACTATATATATATACTACCCAAATATACTGATATACCACTCTTGTTGATTTAATATTAATATACTACCCAGCGGATCCAGGCAAACCACGATGTCACTGGTAACCAGTGGTTCCAAAGACTATGACTAAGACCTAGAAACCCTGGTTTCTTATCGTAACTGGTATCCACTGGGTTGGTTGTACTTCAAAATTCGAGATTCTATATATCTACTCCCAATATTGCTCGCACCCTCAGCTCAGCCGCCCACCGGGGCAGGCAGCTCACCGCTGACTGCTGCTCCGCCGTGTTTTGCTGACTTCCGAGCCGTCCAAAGCTTCGCTGGTGCACATGGATCGGACGATGGATCATCCAAGAGGTTTCTCTGTTCTTAGGCAGTTTTTATGGGAGGAAAAACGGTCGCCATCGGAAGAATCGGGTGAAGGAAGAAGCCAACTGGGCTGCAAACGCGGCATCCACGATGCCTTTCAACTGGGCTGATCCTTTTCGAGGGTGCACTAGTCGCTAGATGCTGACAAAACTGTCTAGTTCTAAATAGATCTAAGTGGACATGCAGAAACGGATTTGGCCTTGAAGAATGTGGTTGGCAGGGGTGACATGACTCACAATACTCATTGCCATCCAATGCTGGTCCAATTCGCACTGATTTTTCGAGCGATTGCTCTCACACTGAGATGCTGCTCACAAATGGGCCTAGCATGCACGGTGCTCGGCGGGCACTGCTGCAGGATTGGGTAGGAAGCTTGGAAAATTCGCTGCGGGGCAGGGAGGTACACAAGCAAGCTACATGTTACATGGCCGATAAGCAGGAAGCATGAATTGATGACTCCCATCATTTACTGTGGTTTGTGTGTATGGGTGTCGAGCGGTCATCTTCCCAACATTGGTCGTATGCAACCCCAAAATTGTCTAATGCGTGCTTCTCGACTAAAGCAGCTCTTTTGCTAACAATGCACAGGCCACACTCAGAGCCTCAAGTAATCTTCACCCCCATCAAATCATTGAACAACCAGGACTTTATGACTGCATCTCCAGGTGCAAACCCCATGCCAATAGCTGCTCATCTACTGAGATCCGCGTGAAAATGATATCCTCTTGAAATTAGGCCAGAAATCGCCCAGGAATTCTTCTATGCAAGAATTAGGAGCTCCTCAAATCAAAGCTGTTTGCTGTTTGCTGTAGTTAAAAATAGCTGATTGAAACCAAAGAAAAGCCTGAAAAGCTTCTTCCGTCGGCCGCCGCGCCTAACTGCTGCCTCAACATGGCATTCTCCAACGACTCTGTGTGCTCGGGCAGGCGCCCTCGTCCAGCAGAGCGGTGGGAACGCCGCGGTGGAACCGCCGATGGGAACGCCCCCCCCAGAATGCAAGTGGGTGTGTATTTGAATTGGGGAGACCCCGCATTGCCCATGGGTTTCGGTCTATTGTTCATCTTCCAGGGGCTCGAACTGGGATGTCTCCCTATATTTTGATACACACCACTTCGTGGATCAGGGAGGCACGATCGCTGAAAACCACCCCTGGCCCAAGCTACGCGAGCTAGCTACGCCCATCCCGACCAGCTCGCGCCGAGTCGAGTCGCACCAAGTGGTTGGGAGGTCCAATCAATCGACCAGAAACGACCAGAAACGACCCACCCGGGAAAATGAACATGGAACCTGAAAGTGGACCAGACTCGAAGACTAGCTTCCCTCTACAACCCAGTGGTTTTCAGGTTCCATGTTAAGTTTCCTGGGTGTAAGTGGTTTCTCCATTTGGAGACACACCCACTGCGGAATATGTCCCACCACCGAACCTAGCCCCTCAATTGCCTTGAGCAATCAGTCATGTGTACATTCCCCAACTTCCTAGAAGCAAACCTTACGCAACTCCACCGAAAGCGTTCAGAGAAGCACCATGTTTCCAGACCCCCAACGTTTGTTTTTGTTCGGCCCCCAAGCATCAAAACCCTGAAGCCCTCCAACCGCCTTTCCCTCGAAATCCCAGGTTCTCCAGCCTGGCCTAGCATGCGACTGTGCTCTAAGAGTTGGTTGCAGGAGTTTTCGATGTCTTCGCAGTACCTTGGACAACGAACGTCATCCCACAGTTCGTACGCACCCCAACCAGAGAGCTGCAACACATGAGCTGAGCTGCAACTTGCGCGGAGTTTGTCCTAGCCCTCCCCACTTACCCAGGCATTAAACAATCCGGTTGAAATATGATGAAATATTCACTGAATTCACCAGTCCGCGGCTTCCTGCCCCCCTTTTCCCTTTGGATTCCCTTTCTTCCACAAACACCGAGCGACTGCCACAGCGGCAGCACATCGAAGGGCTGCTCAACCCGGCTGCCGATGTCTTCGATGCCTCGGCAGCCCAGGCCGGCTCAGGCCGTGGGGCAAGGAGCTTGTCGCAGGGAGCACCCTCCTGCAACAAGCTGTGTTGGGGACCCGAAAACAGCTTAGGGTGGCTTCTGGGCACCCACCACTCGCAAGGAGGATCCAGGGAGAGATGGAAGGGTCAAAAACCATGGTTTCATCATCTCGAACCAACGTCTACAATTGGGGTGCAGTGTGCAAGTGGTGCAGTGTGCGACTCGTGGCGGATTGGATGGGGATCCACCAGCAAGGTGGGATGGATCCAATCAGAGAAGTGTCGCACAGGGGCCTGGCCACACAGATGAGAAGTGTCGAGCAGAAGGGCCTGAAGTGCGCAAACAAACTGCACCTAAAACACCATGGACCATGCTGTCCATGCTACGCTGCTACGCAGGGGCCACCAGAATGCGCAGTGCACCGGGGCTTGGAAGGGGTCAAAAAACAACCTCAATAAACAAATACATCGATGTGGCCTGAAACCTGAACCAATGGGTGAAGCACCTGGGATCACCTGAGTATGACCAAAGCATCCTGCAACCAGGAGTAATTAGCTCGGCATCTCTGGAGCTTTGGGTCTCCATGTTCTTCAGGGGCTCGGTCCCAATCCAGTTCTCCTTCTGCGGAAGACCCACCCGCTTTCAAGCGGCGCGGCACACATCGGACCGCACGAATCGGACCGCACCACCGGGAGCCGCGCCGAGCATGAAGAAGGAAATCACCAAGGTGATGGGAACGGTCAAGGTCTGAGGAAAGGACAGGGTGCAGCCCATTGGAAGGGAAAACCCCAAACTCTTGGAGTGCCGTTGGAAGGCATGTTCCGAAAACCAAAAAAATATTAAGTTGGGGGGAGGGGGGAGCACCAACCTGAGAAAGTTTGCCGTGTCTCCTGTTTGCGATGAACAAAAGAATGAAATTGGCGATGGAACTAACCATTCGCAGTACCAGAAAGCTGGCACACCGTCGCATCTGCTGAGCTTGAGAGTCTGCTCAGTTCAGAGACTTCTTGTTCAGAGAAGATTCAGAAGAGTGCCAACTGTGATCTATATCTTTTCGATTGCATGACATCATGTTATAGCTACTACTACTATTACTACTACTACTACTACTCCTCCTCCTCCTCCTACTCCTACTCCTACTCCTACTCCTACTACTCCTACTACTCCTACTACTCCTACTACTCCTGCTACTCCTGCTACTCCTGCTACTACTGCTACTACTGCTACTACTGCTACTACTGCTACTACTCCTACTCCTACTGCTACTACTACTACTACTACTACTACTACTACTACTAACTACTAACCACTACTTACTACTACTTACTACTACTTACTATATTAGTATACTAACTACTACTAACTACTAGGTACACGGCGGATAGACGGCCGTGGTGTGATGAAGGATGTTCGTGGGGTAGCCCATCTTAAATGTGCGTAGTTCCATTAGGAGTGCTGTGAGCGACACTTCATCATTGGAATCATTGTGAATTCCATGCAGGTTTCGATAAAATGAGAGTTTCGTTGAGGCGAAATGACGATTTCGAAGAATTTTCAAAACTACGCAACTAATTTGGCCGTCATATACTGTATTTATCAACTTCGAATCTAGTAGCGATGCCCTTGTTACTAGTAGCTTCTGGTTCCTAGCAGTAAGGCCACGGGCTCCTAATAGCGTCCTTGCTGCTAGTAGCGATGCCAAATGCACACCAATCCCTCTGGCGCAACGTGTTAACATCTTCATCCTCCTGCGTCGAGCACGGAATCGTTTCTTTTCACTCTTCAAAGGAGCTCCTCCAAGCAGCGCAAGAACTGAGCGGCTTTCGCACAGTTCAAGCTTTGTCGCCAAGCCCACATGTACACGTACTGCGGCACGCTGGGATGCATTTGCGTGTGATTTCTTTCTTTGCATTTCACAACCAGGTTGGCCGGCAAAAACTCTTTTAAAGTCCGCCAGCTTCTATCGAGCATCTGCGGGCCTGCGACATTCGAAACTTCCTTGTAAACAGTCCGACCATGTGAAGTGAAATTTTTCACTTGGTGGACAACTGACTGCAGCGGCAACCCACGAGCTTCTGCCGCGGATTGCCAAGCCTTGTTGTCAAGAAAATAGACTGAAATAGATAAGCTGCTACACCACAGGTGTGCTAATTAGCCCCCATCCCGCCCCCCCAAATTCCCACACGTAGTACTGTAGAAAACAACATCTCCAGAAAAATGTAAGAAAAGCCCACGGCCGTCTATCCGCCGTGTACCAACTACTACTACCTACTACTACTACTACTACTACTACTACTACTACTACTACTACTACT